TAGTCTAGTCTATATAGTCTAGTCTATAGTCTAGTCTATAGTCTAGTCTATAGTCTAGTCTATAGTCTAGTCTATAGTCTAGTCTATAGTCTAGTCTATAGTCTAGTCTATAGTCTAGTCTATAGTCTAGTCTATAGTCTAGTCTATAGTCTAGTCTATAGTCTAGTCTATAGTCTAGTCTATAGTCTAGTCTATGGTCTAGTCTATAGTCTTGTCTATAGTCTAGTCTATAGTCTAGTCTATAGTCTAGTCTATAGTCTAGTCTATAGTCTAGTCTAGTCTGTAGTCTAGTCTTTAGTCTAGTCTATAGTCTAGTCTATAGTCTAGTCTATAGTCTAGTCTCTAGTCTAGTCTATAGTCTAGTCTATAGTCTAGTCTATAGTCTAGTCTATAGTCTAGTCTATAGTCTAGTCTATAGTCTAGTCTATAGTCTAGTCTATAGTCTAGTCTATAGTCTATAGTCTAGTCTATAGTCTAGTCTATAGTCTAGTCTAGTCTATAGTCTAGTCTAGTCTAGTCTAGTCTAGTCTAGTCTAGTCTAGTCTAGTCTAGTCTAGTCTATAGTCTAGTCTATAGTCTAGTCTATAGTCTAGTCTATAGTCTAGTCTATAGTCTAGTCTATAGTCTAGTCTATAGTCTAGTCTATAGTCTAGTCTATAGTCTAGTCTATAGTCTAGTCTATAGTATAGTATAGTCTAGTCTATAGTCTAGTCTATAGTCTAGTCTAGTCTATAGTCTAATCTATAGTCTAGTATAGTCTAGTCTAGTCCATAGTCTAGTCTATATTCTAATCTATAGTCTAGTCTATAGTCTAGTCTATAGTCTAGTCGATAGTCTTTGTTCAGTTGTATGTAGGATGCCTTAGAAAACCACTCTTTTAAAAAATATTATGAAGTCATTAGTTTGATAAAAAGTCTTTAAATTGATAAAAATAAACACTTGCTTCACAAGAAACTTTCTATGAAATTAACGAAAATGACTTATATCAATTTCCCGATAAAATCCCCCATACCACCCATTACTTTCTATATTTATAAGAAAATCTTATACGCTGTAAATTTCCTTATTACCAAATTGTTTATAATGAATTTTTCCATATTATTTCAACAACAAATTAACAATTTAATTTAGCAATAAAACACCTGTCCGATCATTTAAAACTTAATAAGAAAAATACAATTTATACACAAAATCAATCTAAAAATCAATGATTGAAAATAATAATTAAAAAGAAAATTTTGTTTAATTTCAAATTGCAGGCAAAACGTTAAGATAGGCGGCGAGGTGAAATTGGCCAAGAGGAATAACAATTTGGTGGCTGCCACAAAACAACAAATAAATTGCAAAAAAAGTAAAATGTTTACCTTGGAAAATGATAAAAATTCAAAAAGACGACGGAATAGAATACAGTCAAGTGAGAGAAATGATTTGTCAGCAACAGAGGCTATACTAGTAACATCAACAGCTGCCTTAGAAAAAGTGGCAACAACATTATCATTATCACAAATAGCAACAGCAACAACAACAAAAACATTGTCTATACCACAAAACAACAACAGACATCATACAACAGCAACAACAGCCACAACATCAACAAATCCTATGAAAAGTATTAAAAATCTCTCTATGTCTTGTAAAATTTTTCCATCAACATCATTATCGTCGTCGTCGTCATCCCTGTTGTCATCATTGTGGTCGTTGTCTTCTTGTTCCTCCTCAATTATTTCTGGTAAAATAATCTCAAGGAATTTATGGAGAACCACAAGTAAAACACCAACTCTAGACACACAATCAATAACTCCAACAACAACTGCAACAATAAATACGACATCATTATGGCCACATGCTGCAAGTATTACAAGAAGACGAAATAATTGTGGTGATGCTGCTGCTGATGATTATTGTGATGATTGTGGTGGTGATCGACGATGTCAAAGTCTTAGACGACACAGTCATAGACGGCATTTTTTATTGACTTTGATGCTGTTACTAGTTGTCTGTATTGTCAACACTTCATCAGTAAAGGCTGCTGACAGTTTAACTGGTAAGTGCCACATTTATTTATATCTCTACCTCCCCTCCCTCTCTCGTTCCCAGCAAATGCATGTTTTTCTAACTATCTATAAAGTTATCTGTCTAATGGAAACTAAAAGTTTAATTTTTTTTCTTAATCTTGTAATCCAACACTTTTTTGTTGTTTTATGACCACGAACATACTTCGTAACACACTTTATAGTGGATTGAGAAAAAAAATATTCAGACTTATAGACAAAGAAATTTCTGAAAACCACATACGTAAAATATTACTCATTTCTAGAACTACACTAGAACTAAACCAGAACTGAACTACATCTGAACTAGAACTGAACTAGAACTGAACTAGAACTGAACTAGAACTGAACTAGAACTGAACTAGAACTGAACTAGACTGAATGAGAACTGAACTAGAACTGAACTAGAACTGAACTAGAACCTGAACTAGAACTGAACTAGAACTGAACTAGAACTGAACTAGAACTGAACTAGAACTGACTAGACTGACTAGAACTGAACTAGATCTGAACTAGAACTGAACTAGAACTGAACTAGAACTGAACTAGAACTGAACTAGAACTGGAACTAGAACTGAACTAGAACTGAACAAGAACTGAACTAGAACTGAACTAGACTGACTAGAACTGAACTAGAACCTGAACTAGAACTGAACTAGAACTGAACTAGAGAACTGAAATGACTAAACTGAACTAGGAACTGAACTAGAACTGTATAGAACTGAACTAGAACTGAACTAGAACTGAACTAGAACTGACTAGAACTGAACTACGAATTGAACTAGAACTGAAGCTATAACTGAACTAGAACTGAACTAAACTGAACTAGAACTGAACTAGAACTGAACATAGAACTGAACTAGACTGACTAGAACTGAACTAGAACTGAACTAGAACTGAACTAGAACTGAAAAAACTAGAACTGAACTAGAACTGAACTAGAACTAGAACTAGAACTAGAACTGGAATAGAAAATGAAAAATAGAACTGAACTAGAACTGAACTAGAACTGAACTAGAACTGAACTAGAACTGAAACTAGAACTGACGAGAACTGAACTAGAACTGAACTAGAACTGAACTGAACGAACTGAAACTAGAACTGAACTAGAACTGAACTAGAACTGAACTAGAACTGAACTAGAACTGAACTAGAACTGAACTAGAACTGAACTAGAACTGAACTAGAACTGACTAGACTAGACTAGAACTAGAAACTGAACTAGAACTGAACTAGAACTGAACTAGAACTGACTAGAACTGAACTAGAACTGAACTAGAACTGAACTAGAACTGACTAGAACTGACTAGAACTGAACTAGAAACTGAACTAGAACTGAACTAAACTGAACTAGAACTGAACTAGAACTGAACTGAACCTAGAACTGAACTAGAATGAACTAGAACTGAACTAGAACTGAACTAGAACTAACTAGAACTGAACTAGAACTGAACTAGAACTGAACTAGAACTGAACTAGAACTGAACTAGAACTGAACTAGAACTGAACTAGAACTGAACTAGAACTGAACTAGAACTGAACTAGAACTGAACTAGAACTGAACTAGAACTGAACTAGAACTGAACTAGAACTGACTAGAACTGAACTAGAACTGAACTAGAACTGAAACTAGAACTGAACTAGAACTGAACTAGAACTGAACTAGAACTGAACTAGAACTGAACTAGAACTGAACTAGAACTGAACTAGACCTGAACTAGAACTGAACTAGAACTGACTAGAACTGAACTAGAACTGAACTAGAACTGAACTAGAACTGAACTAGAACTGAACTAGAACTGAACTAGAACTGAACTAGAACTGAACTAGAACTGAACTAGAACTGAACTAGAACTGAACTAGAACTGAACTAGAACTGAACTAGAACTGAACTAGAACTGAACTAGACGAACTAGAACTGAACTAGAACTGAACTAGAACCTGAACTAGAACTGAACTAGAACTGAACTAGAACTGAACTAGAACTGAACTAGAACTGAACTAGAACTGAACTAGAACTGAACTAGAACTTAATTAGAACTGAACTAGAACTGAACTAGAACTGAACTAGAACTGAACTAGAACTGAACTAGAACTGAACTAGAACTGAACTAGAACTGAACTAGAACTGAACTAGAACTGAACTAGAACTGAACTAGAACTGAACTAGAACTGAACTAGAACTGAACTAGAACTGAACTAGAACTGAACTAGAACTGAACTAGAACTGAACTAGAACTGAACTAGAACTGAACTAGAACTGAACTAGAACTGAACTAGAACTGAACTAGAACTGAACTAGAACTGAACTAGAACTGAACTAGAACTGAACTAGAACTGAACTAGAACTGAACTAGAACTGAACTAGAACTGAACTAGAACTTAGAACTGAACTAGAACTGAACTAGAACTGAACTAGAACTGAACTAGAACTGAACTAGAACTGAACTAGAACTGAACTAGAACTGAACTAGAACTGAACTAGAACTGAACTAGAACTGAACTAGAACTGAACTAGAACTGAACTAGAACTGAACTAGAACTGAACTAGAACTGAACTAGAACTGAACTAGAACTGAACTAGAACTGAACTAGAACTGAACTATAACTGAACTAGAACTGAACTAGAACTGAATTAGAACTGAACTAGAACTGAACTAGAACTGAACTAGAACTGAACTAGAACTGAACTAGAACTGAACTAGAACTGAACTAGAACTGAACTAGAACTGAACTAGAACTGAACTAGAACTGAACTAGAACTGAACTAGAACTGAACTAGGACTGAACTAGAACTGAACTAGAACTGAACTAGAACTGAACTAGAACTGAACTAGAACTGAACTAGAACAGAACTGAACTAGAACAGAACTGAACTAGAACTGAACTAGAACTGAACTGAACTGAACTAGAACTACGACTAGAATGAAAGTGGAAAATGTGACAAAGATATAAAAATTTAGATTTTTTTTTCGAAAATTGCCATAAGAAAGATTTCAGATTGCACAAATATTTGATCAAACTGATCAAGTATTAAGTTATACAAAAAAACTATGTGAAATCAATATACATATATTAAATGAAGTTTTGAATAAAAACATGTGATTAATAACTCGTCCCCTTGCAACCCTGTTTTAAAGACGCCATATAATTAAACTTCCCAATTTTCTGGTGCTTAATCATTAATCTTTGCTACACAAGTCAAAAAAAAAAAAAAAAACTTTTTAAAAACTTAAATAATTTCTATGGAATGTATTTTTTTTTTCTTAAAACACTACATACATGTTATTTACACCCAATGACTGGTAAAAATTATGACCAGAATAAAGCAAAGCAAACACACTTATTGGCTTGTTTAATGTCCTGCTGTGAAAATTGTTTAAACAAGCCCTTTAGGCTAATTAATGTACATTGATTAAAATCAATTTTTATTGATTTTTTTATTAGTATTTATACAATTGTTTTTATGTACTTGTTTTTTTGTGAATATGCACTCAACAACTAATCGAACGGAATAATTGAAAATCATCAAACAAATTATTTACACAGTGGGAGGGACGAGTAATGCAACCTTTAATAATAATAAAGGAAAACAAATTAATTTTGAATTATTGTTGATAGAAAAGTTGTATGGTATTTTAAAGAGAACAAAAAAAATCAAATAAACAAATACATTCAATGGGACGGAAATCCAGCTCTCTATTTGCTTCGACGTTTAACAGCTTCATAGCTTACAGCAAGCATGTGTATGTGTATCATTTTCTCGCTCTCCCTATGTTTACTCTTCAGTTGCTTCAGTGCTTATCTTCCTCCTTACAGAAGTCATGATTTCATGTTTGCCAGCTTTTAGTAGTGCCACCCTATTATACTTCATACACAAATTAATATTTCAAAATTTTATTGCCTGTGGTGAAGTGTATAAAATTATTAAAATCTTATTTACTAACACAACACTTTAAAAATAATAATGTGCAAACCAGCATTGGAAATAGAATTTAACTGCTTTTCAAATTAGTTTGTCATTGATTTCAACACAGTATGTAGTAATTCATTACAAATTTATTCTTTTGTTTCTATATTAAGCAAAAAAAAAACAAATATTTAATATTTTCTATTTAAATAAACACTAGTTTAATATCACTTTAAAACAAATTGTTGTTATTTTACTATTTATTTTTATAAAATCAAAATGGATCGCGTGCCGTATGCATTTTGCCACTACTTATCCCTCTACCTGTATAGAAAAGCTATAGTTTATAAACAACAGCAAAATAATTGAAATTTAATAGAATTATAAAACCTACAATATGTTCCCACTTAACAAATATTTGAAAATTAACTTTTATTATAATATTTTCCAATTTAAAATATGTTTATTAAAAACTTAAATCTACGATTTTTTTCAAAAATTTCTCTAATGTGAACGCACTCGTTCATTAAAATCTTAAAGTGTTGATATAAGACATGTCGTAAGTTTTTGGTCTTAAATCAATTTTTTTTTACTAAAACACAGGGTGTGTCTTTAATGGTCATCAATCAGCAACATTGTAACATTATGACTGAATGACTGACACCTCCTACAACTTACAAATACATAGTTAGACGTTTTATCAAGTTTACATTTTTCTTCACTCAACAAGTGTGTTTAGTTAGTGACATTAGAGATAAGAATTAAAGTTTAATGAAAAACGTCTATTTGATAGGCGGTTAATTTAAGCGACATTTTCTTTAAATATTTGGTAAAATATTTTATAAAATTTTAATTAGGAAATCTACCAAAAAAAGTGGGTGTGATTATGAGCATTTTTCTAGCAGTCATTTACGTCAACGTGTTAATTATTTATTGTAATAATCTATATCTTGCACAGACTAAACTAGGCTAACGACTTAACTATAGTCAAGAATCTAGACTATACTATTTTCTAGACTCTAGAATATACTATAGACTAAACTATAGACCAAAACATAGTTTAAACAGTGTACAGATTAAACT